CCAGGTCTGGGCAAGTTTTCGTTCTGGTGTTCAAAGGTCGCTATGGGTCAGTACCAACTCGATGGCACCTAACAACAACAACAACAATGCAGAGATGGAAATGACCCTATTGTTCCTACCAAAAACCCCCAAGCCCACTGCTGACGAGTCAATTCCGACTCACAGCGACCTCAGAGAGTAGAGCTGTGCCTTAGGGTTTCAGAGACTGTAAATCTTTACAGGAGTAGCCAGCCTCATCTTTCTGCTGTAGAGCAGCTGGTAGGTTTGAACTGCTGACCTGTGGTTGGCATCCCTACACTTAATTTACTGTGTCACCTTATTGCTCCTAAGAAAGCCCCAATTTTGAAATGTGTTGATTTCTGATAATGTATGACGCTTCCATTAGACTATTAAATTGACATACGTATTACATTTAATGACATTTCGATCATTTCTAGAACACAAGGTCAGCAGTTCAAACCCACCAGCCACTCCTTGGAAACCCTACATAGGATCCTTCTGAGTCAGAACTGACTCAATGGCATTTAATAATAATAACAGCATAGATCCTCAACTATATGGAGGATAAGTTAATTCTTATATATTGAAAAGATCATACTTTGTAACATTGAATTTTGGCATCTTGTATGACTCTATTGTGTCAGATGTAAGCAGGCCTGGCCAGGAAAGTCACAATGATTCTTTTCATGTGACTTCTCTGTTGAAGAATGAGGATAATAATTTTTCAAAAAAAAATTCTAAAGAAAAAAAGGTAACATTTTAATAAGAGAATTTTCTGTTTAATTTTTTTTTTACTTGGGAATATCAATTGGTAACTTGCTGTTTTAACCAAAGCATTCACTACGAGCTTAGTTTCATACTAATCATAACTCTGCAAATGCACATTTGATGGTTAAAAACAAGTACAGTAACATTCAAAACAGAGCAAATAAATACTCCCAGTGGGAACCGAGCACACAGTCAAGGACAGAGTTTGGCCTCTGTGCAGTATTTTTTGTTACCGTGGCCAAGAACTTGATAAATGCGTATCATTGTAAAAGTGGTTTCTGTCTGTTTTCTTTACCTATTTGTTGTTGTTAAGTTTAAGTGCTGTCGAGTCATAGCAACCCTACATAGGGCTTCTGAGGAGCAGCTGATGAGTTTGAATCAAGGACCTTGTGGTCCAGTGCTTATCCTACAGTGCCATACCAGGACTCCTGTTTACATACTTATGTTTCCCTTTACAAGTACAGCTTTCTTGACCATTTGCAACTTACCTTTACTTTGGCAGTTTTATTTTAGTATTTATAGTTGTCTTTACCACTTACAGGGGCTGAAAAAAAACTGGGAAGAGGTGCATAAAGAGTTCCAGTCCCTCTCGGTGTTCATAGATTCCATACCGAAGAAGATTCGCAAGCAGAAGCTGGAAGAAGAAATGAAGCAACTAGAACATGACATTGGTGTCATTGAAAAGCATAAAATTATTTATATTGCCAATAAGTAATAAGAGAACGGTAAAAGGATAATCATTTTCATGTAGGGAAATAAAAACAAAACCCACCATTGAATATATAAAAATGGAACTAAAGTTTTATAAAGAAGAAAATCCACAAAGAATGAAAATGGACTTAAAATCATCAAAATGCTTAGGCAATGTTTAAAAGCTAAGGTGAATTATTCACCTACATAAGAGGTTTTTTTCTGCCATTATTAGGTTTTCCAAGTTGAAACCGATTAAAGTTTGGTGTACTCTGTTCTGGTTCCATAGTGTAATTCATTATCATTGTGGACTTGTTTCACATAAACCTTCATTTGGGGGCCCAAAAAAACAAAGACAGCATTCAGAACTTCATTTTTGTTTTTTCTTCTACCACATCCAGCACAGGGATATCACAGCATTAACAACTGTTAAGGGTTTTGAATTGGAAATAGTGACAACTGCATTCTTACCACTCTAGATTGTTTTCTACAGACTGATTCAGAAATCCCTACATTTAACAGTATAGACTTATCTGTATACAACCTGGGTCATCTGTGGCTATTTCCATCCGTAAATACTGTTGGCATCCATATGACTGTGCGTGCTGAAAGACTTCCATTTGGAGGAAGGAAAACTAAAAGGTAACTCAGAAAATTAAGAAGACAACTTTAAAAATGCAGCACTGAAGATGATTCAATAAACAAAGTAACCTCCCTCTTAATGTGCCCGTTAATAAAAACCAACTCTGCTATTCTGAGTTTTATTTAATAATACACCTATGTATTTATTAAAGTGGAATGTTAATTTCTTTCATCTTTTCTAAGTATTTTTGAGAATCCTAGTCTCTACTCTTAAGATTACATAATTTATTTAGCAGTTGGTTTATATTAGTAGAGCTGTCTTCAACTCAGAGTAAGAGGCAAAAATCAATTAATATCTAAGAGGGAAAAAATTCTTTAATGAAATTTTTAATTAAACAAATTTGAGTAAAATATCAGAGCAATCACAATTTCTACTGTTAAAACTGTTGCTTATACTACAGACAACACAGAATCAAATGGCAATCCTTTTCAAGCTTTTTCTTAATTAGACACAGAATCTGAGTGCCTTGTAGACAAAATGCTTTAGTTAATGTGCTTACATAGAAATTTTTTTAAAACTCACATTGTCCTTTTCTCATATTTCTTTATGAGCATCATTTCCTTGTTTTTATATGTGGAGTCCTGGTGTGACGCTGTAGGATAAGCACTGAACTGCTAAGCCCAACACCCATTCTTTGGAAACTTTACACAAGGGTCACTATGAGTCAGAATCGACTCGATGGCACTAAACAACACCAGTATACTGCCCATATTAATCCTATATGATCCCTGATGTGGTGTTGTAGGATAAACACTGGATTGCTAACCACAAGGCCAACAGTTCAAGCCCACAAGCTGTCCTTGAAAACCCTAAACAGGGTTGCTATTGGTCAGAACCCACTTGATGTCACAGTAACAGGCTGTAAACAGATTAGCAGGGCAGTGCTTTTCCACACAGTCCCTTGGGTGCCCAGACCTCTGAAGGGACTAGATAGACTCCGTTGCATGCAGAGATGAAGCTGCCATGGTGCCATGTACAGGTCAGACTTAGAAATGGAGCGCATCATTTCTTCCTGCATTCTTTAAGTGAGCAATATTAGTTGCTGTAACTAAACCATTGCCATCAAATTGATTTTGACTCAGGGAGACTCCATGTGTACAGAGTAGAACCATGCTCCGTAGGGTGTTCTTGGTCGTGATCTTTACGGAAACAGATGACCAGGTCTTCCTTTTGTGGCACTGCTGGGTGGGTTTGAACTACCAACCTTTAGGTTCAAAGTTGAGCACAAGTGTTTCTTGGTATAATAAAGATGAATATCTCATTTATGGTGGGTTGAAAGTTTGTTCACACAGGTACATAGGACCCAGTGACCTTCTATTTAGCTTTGCCAATAGAGCCAGGCTTGTCTGCCACCTTTGAAAATAAGGTTTTTGGTGTATATTTTATTTCCAAGATGATTCTTATCCATATTAGTTTAAAAATAATTCAAAATCAGCAGCAATTTAAAAATATTATGATGATCAGCCGTATGATTATTGTGTTTAGGGTCATGAATGGGAGTTGCCTTAGATGTTAAAATGATAACTTTATGGTTTTAACATAAGGTTTTTCTCTTGCTTTCTATAAATGTCTGCTGAAGAATCCAGGCTGTTCTCCATGCCACACAATATTAGACTAGCTAAATTATATTGCCTTTCTCACCCATAGCCCCCATATCGAACCTTTCTTATTCATAGTTCCTGGGAGGGCTAGCCCCTACCAGGGGATTCAAACCTTGAATAGCTTTAGTGCAACTCCCTCCCATCCACATATATACTTAGTTGGGCCCTCCTATCAGACAGTCAAAGGAAGGGCAGACACCTGAGTCAGGTAGTTGACCAGTGACTGTTTTGATTCTCTCTCTTGAGAAGATGAATTAAGAGACTGTGGTCACGTGGGGATACCGCAGCTAGTTTGATGTGGCTTCTGATCCTGTTCAAAAGCTCTGAGTAGAATAAAGATTCAATGTGGTTGGGCCCTTTCTCTTTAGCTTCATTTCATGAGATGCTGCCATTCTCTTACCCACTGTAACAGATATTCCCATAATACTGAGAGGTACTAGAGGCCTCCCACATCTGCACCCACATTGTTTGCTCCACCCAGAAAATTGTACTCTTCTTTGTCTCTCTTCCTGCATATCTTTCTGGCAAATCCCTTGTCTTTAAAAATCAGCTCACATCAACATTCCTGTGACACCCCTCTCTGAGTCCAGTGCCTGGCCTTCTGTTAACAGCATTCATCATATTGTTTTGTAAATGTCTGGATATCTGCCTGATTCCCACGAGACTGAGAGCTTATGCGGAGAAGGAATTGTGTATCTTTACATCTAAATTCCTTAGAACTTACATAATAGTTGGTATATAGGAAATACTACTAATAAAATAAAATCCCAGCACTCATTGAAAAAATTAATAAAAGATATATAAACATGTATTTTGATATGGTCCATTAGCAATTATTATCATGATGTAAATCAGAGATTTTGACTACCAACCAGTTGCTGAGCATTCAAGTCAAGAGGAGACAATTCCACGTGGTGGTTAAAAGTTCAGGCACCCGAGTCAGGTTGATTCAGGTTCACATCCCAGCTTAGCTGGTTTTTAGGCCACTGTGTTTTGAAATAGGTTTGAATTGAAATTTAACCTTTTTAAGCTACATCTTTCTTACCTAGAAGATCAGGTTAATAATCCATCATCAAGCTACATAGAGTTCTGAGAAGAGAATGTAATACTATAGGCATAGCAGTTAGCAAGTCCCTGAATATAAAAAGACAATAAACTTATTACTAAGGTTTATTATTTAAACCTCCCCTTCAATTCTGTAGTGCTTTTGCCCAGTTGGCTAGCATACTATCAGTAAAGGTTTAGCATTCTCAATCTCACAAAATTTAGTTGCAGAAAAGGACCTGAGAGAAGAGTTTAGAAGTCCTAGCCTGAAGTGTTACTGTTAAGTGCTATAGAGTTGCTTCTAACTCATAGTGACCCTGTATAGGGTTTCCGAGGAGCAGTGAGTGAGCTTGAACCCCTGACCTTGTGGTTCAAATGACTTTGCAGACCAGCACATTTACCCATAGTGCCACACCAGGACTCCTCGCCTGAGTAGGGGTGGCTTATCCCCTCAGTGGTATATACAGCTGATAACAACTATATTAGGTAACTGCTATCTTTGATAACTGGCAAAAATTTGGCAATGTCTTCTAAGTTACTCAGCACAGACATTCCAGAAAAGAAAGATAAGCTTTAATCAGCAATGATGTCAAAGAGTCATTGAAGGTAAAGGGCTGAAAGGTTGTCTCCAAAGAGGCCTCCTGGGAGGGATTTATTAGTGAATTAACTGGGGCCAGGAATTGACCTCTGATCTGAGGGCCCCCAAGTTCACTGTTTTCAGAACCTCAGAGACTGACCCACATGACTTGACATGCATGTCAACTTGACTTGTTACCTACATATCAAGTTCTAAATTTACATTAAGAAATATCTCTCACCAGTACCAATCCTCATAATTAGCACATCATCTCTTAGTTGTCAAGGTCTGTGGGAAGACAAGTCATAATCCAAAGGTTACTTTAGCTAGAACAAAGTAAAAAAGAAAAGAGAAATCTAGATTATTTTATAAAAATCCCTTCAGCTAACATAGCTCATTCACTATCAGCAAATACTGACTTCTAGTTGCTGAACAAAGTGATGAACAAAATAGCAATGTTGGGAAGACAGAAATAATGCATTTATAATTACAAATGGAAGTAAATGTTTTGAAAGTAAGCAATAGAAGAAGCTTAAACAAGAAAAAGTCAAGGGACCCCTAAATCAGATTGTATAGTTAGAACAAGTCTTTGTAAGAATTTGACCTAAATAGTTAGACTGAAAGGTTAGACTCAGGATAGGTTTGGAAGAAGAAGGTTGTAAAGGAAAAAAAAAAATCCAAGCAGAAAACAAACTATGTGAAATATTTGGGGCAGGAAACCCATTGGAGGAAGGTAGACATTTTGGTTGGATTGTACTTAGAGAAGGGGAGAGAGATATAAACTATAGAGGAGCACAGAAACAGTGACTACTGATGTGTTTTAAGCAAGGAGATGGAACGATGTGATCAGTAATTTCAAATAATCATTTACAACTAATGGATTGAAGTGGAAGATGCATGATAGGGGGAGACTAGGGGCTTATAAAAATCCTCCAGGTAAAGACGAGAGTGGATAGACCAAGGTTGTTGTAGAGAGAGAAAGAGTAGCTTTTGGCATCAAATGTTCAGGAGGTTTAAAAAAAAAAAAAAAAAAAGTAATTTGATGATGGATTCAGGTTGGAAGAGAGGAAAGCTTTAAGGATGATAACCAAGGTTCTGACTTCAGCAACCAGGCAGATAGGGTACCATTTTCTGAGTTCAGGAAATCTGGAGGTGGAGCA